ATAAATACTGCACAACTTTACAATAGGACATTTATTGCTAGTGTTGCGAGCATCACATTTTAAAAGAAAGCTGAACTATTTAGCATGGTATGCACGCGACGTCATCGCAGTATAGGCTAGTGGTCATTGCGATTTCTTCTTGGTGAGAAAATCGAATTCGACGGTGCAAAAGGCACGGTGCAGGAGGTTCAAGCTCAGTGAAAGCCAAGGATTTGAAAGGCACGCATTATTATTCTTAGTGCATCGTCGCGAGGAAAGGCGCGAGCGTCCGGCACGACAAAAACATGCTTTTTGGCAAGAGCGCTTTTGCAAACAAAGTAGTTTCCGGGGTCACGCTTTTTGGTCTGTGCCAAAGATGCAGGGAAGAGGAACCTTTACAACACAGTATGCTTTTAAAACTCCCCCCCCCCCCCCCCCCCCGCCCACACACACACATACACACTTCTTTATACAGCGGTGCTGTTAAGGGCTAGTTTTCCAGTGTCGTGTCCGTCAACGAACAAATGATGACACTAAACTCCGCCATCTATAAATGACAACGACAACCAGACAACCAGCTTGCCGGTTGTCTGGTTTCCGCCGTCGTTCGTAGAGGGTGGCAACCCCTCAAGCCTTTCCACTCTGGCTTACCGACTTGTGGCCGGCCATTACTTCATTCCCACCATAGTACAGCTTTATTTGTCGTCACCAGAGTGGAAAGACTGAGAGCATTCCTGAGGAATTACCTCCTTCGTTTGTGGCTGTTAATTTGACAATTTTATTTGACGCTTGTTAACCGCAACCCTTCATTGCTTTTATTTCGCACCCTGTGAAGTTCCAAGGGGTCATGAAACGATATCGGGTTGGAATGTTCATGACCTTTCCGAGGCGTACTGGTCCTCTGGCCCAAGTGTACTCGCACAGGCCGCCACTGATTCAGAAGCGTCTTCGTCGTGGTGAAATTGCGAAGATTAAACGAGATTATTTTTTTTAGTCTTGCCGTCCAAAAGATTGACGACGTAATTGTGGGATTGAAACCACCCGCCTGTCGACAGTCGAGCGCGGCTCATGGATTGGACACGAGAACCGCGTCAGCACTTGACATCGGCTCGTAACAATCAATGCCTCGGTGGACACTCGGGCAGTGGCTCGTGTTCCAACCACTGCGGTGATGAGAATAGCCCAACTCTAACCACGTCCGGACTGGAAGCGCGCGCTCTCTTCCTCTTCTTACGGCCTTTGCAATTGGGGCAATCGCCACCTCCCGCTGCAATTCGCGGGTGGCGCTGTCACCTCACCCCTGGCCTACCCTTTGCAGTTTGCACAGAGCGTGTCTGACATGCAGTGTATCTCAGCGCTGTCGCAACTTGCGGCCGAGATTTTTATAGCCTTTGACACCTGATCCTTATGTTTAGACCCTCAGCCACTATCTAATGCGTTTCTGATGAGCCCAAAGCGGTAAATATTTGATGCACACCTCCGCGAGATTCGGGAGTAAAAAGTTGTAAGTAGGGGCAGCGAATGCAATCGCGGAAAAACTACACTTGTCTTTACCTCCAGGACTTCTGCTGCAACTCAAGAACAGGAGGAGACGGACCCCCTCTACGGAGAGAAACTTTAAATGATAAATAATTCGTACACTCTCGTGAAATGTAAGCAGGCCCAATCTATCTAATGCCGTGGTCTGCATTATCATTTCATAGGCCGCCTATGACGTCGGTCAGCTGCTCTAGACTAGGGTGTAGTAGTCTGTACAATTTTCACGCAGTGCACACTACAGCCTAAAGTGCTTCCTCGAGGGACTGTGCACAAATCCAGTTGATTTTGCGTTTCTGTCCATGACCGTCTTTGCATGGTTAATCAGAAGTAGTCTGAGCAACTTCTTGCAAATTAAACCAACCACGTGCTTTGATGACTGTTGTCAGTGCCTCCTGGGCAACGTAGGATTGGCGGGTCTTCAAGATAGGGTGCAATGAGTAGTTGCAGAACTTCGTGCACATTTCTACGCGGAGGTGCATAACAGCCTTAAAAGAAAAAGCAACGATGTTGTCCAGAAGTGCGAAGAACCTAGGATTTGGATAATGAAGTCCGCGTTTATCCTAGCCTTGCAATAAGACGAACAGAGGATCACCTCTGTTACTCGTAGTCAACAGCATAACACAGAAGTCGCACCCAAACTCACTAATGAGTTTCACCAGATAGCCACCGACGTACACCAGACCAGAGTATGTCACGGATGGAGATGGAGCACAAGGCTCTTTTAGATTTTTCAGGTCAGTGGTAACCGAGTCGGGCACACCCATTGCCAACTGCTCAGAATCAGTGCCTGACATCTGTATTTGCTTAGAAGGGGCCTTTTCTTTGACCATGACCGCGCTTTTCGAACAACGGCGTGCGAGGGGTCAGAGAAGTACAGAAGTCCATGTCATAGGGGAACGCAGTTTGCTGACGACACTGCCTGTCGGTAGAGTGACTTAAATCGGAGCGAAGTTCAATAAATCGTTGCAAAAAACAACCTTTGAAGCTCGAACACCAGCGCAAAGCAGCTCGAAGGGACTCTCCGAGTGGGGTGAAGTGGGGTGAGGTGGTTGCGCTCCTGGCGGCGAGCAAGTGAACCACATACGGAGAAAAAATGAAATTGACTCCCCGGCGATTGCAAAGGCCATAAGAAGAGAGAGAGAGCGGGCGCTTCCAATCCGGCCGTGCTCTAACAATGCCTGGAGCTCAGCACGCGTTTTCGTCCTTTAAAACCCCAGCGCGGCGGTATGATCAACGTTGGCGCCATAAGATAGGCACCAGGCCACGTGGCCGCTTCTGGCTCCGAGTTGAGGGGATGAACGATGCTCATATTTCTCCAACTGTTTGGCGACTGCCATTGCCTAGACAAATAAGCAAAGTCAAGTTCAATCAGTTATAAGCGTTAGGGAGTGATCCTGAGTAGTATTTAGTAATGTATAGAAATATTGTTTTAGCTCATTTAAGCAAAATACAGAGGAGGTCGAAACTTTGGCAATATCTTGAGAACAACGCTCGTGTGAGATTTACCGCGACTGCCAACCTTCGGCTGTTCCTCTGAGGTCGCTAAAATAGCTTATTTTTTTTTTAGGTATTCCTTCCGTAGACACGTGTAGTTCTATGTAACGTCATATTAATAAGTCGCATTTAGTCATTTCAGAACTTCTATTCTCAAGGACATTTCTCGGATGCAGTTCAGCAACGAAAAAATTTTTCGGTCCCTCAATAATGTAAAATTGGTCTTGCAACATTTTTTTTGTACTTTCAATAAATAGCGTTAAGAAATAACCCCCGACGTTGATAGGTTGCGAAAACATTCATTAGTTTTCCCCTAATAACAGATGCAGAAAAATAAAGGACAGAGACAGCTGTCGATATCTCCTCAACTCGCAATTTGAACAAGCGGCCACGTGATCCGACGCTAATTATATACCACCAGCCTTTGTCACAGTCATGCCCTCGGCGGCTAGGGTTTGGAAAGCAAAAGCATGGGCAGAGCTTCAGATATTGTTACAGTTGGGCTATTAATTATCATATTTAATTGACATGAGCCGTTACCTGAATCTTTGGCGACGCCGATTGTCATGAACCCGAGCACTCGACTAGGGGTTATGAAAATCGCTTACGTCACGGTGTCACGTGACCCTCGGTGCGAAATCGTGATGTCATGTTACGTCATGCTGTCAACAAGGTTAATACATCTAATGACTTCCTCAAATTAAATCGAGTTGATGCAGCGAGTCACGTGACATTACTTGACAACATGTATTGACACCATGACGTCTCGTGACAACGTGACACTTGGTTAATCATAGTGCCAATACAAAGGTGCCACGAAAACCCACAATTTCATACATTGGAATTCTGTATATGATGATTTGATCAATAGATAGAAATACAGCCGCCAATTTTTTATTCCCATGTGTTCATTTTGTGATACTAACAAAAAAGAAAAAAAGAAATATTACCTTGAACCGTTTTGAACCGGTTACCGTTATATCTTTTTCGGTTCGGTTCAGTTCCAAGATGGCGGCGGAGATTTCTGTTCGGTTCGGCTAAAAATAACGGTTCTGTTCCAGTTTTCGGTTCGGTTTGGTTCCGGTTCGACACCCTGGAAAAAAGCACTCGCCCCCTTTGCATGACGAAGAAAAGAAAAATGCTCTAGAGATGCCGCGCTCTGGTACATCTGCATGCGCTGTGCGAAATGTGCCACACACGGCAGGTAGGGACACATACGCCCCCCTCCTCCCCGCTGGCGGGACCAGCTTGGCCATGCAGGGTCATCCAAAATTTAGTTTCTTTTTCCCCCATGCTCCAGATGGTTTTTGCAGAAGTTTTTGCTGTGCACTTCCAGTACCAGGGCTTGGGACTATATCGCAGGTTGCGAGACGATTTGGTGGACGTGTTTGCAATATTCTTGCACATAAATCTGAGAAGGAACTGTAACGTTACTCTTTGCAGTTACTTTCGAAAAAAAGTAACCATGTTAGACCTTCAGGTTATTTTCACTAAGCAGTAACGAGTTACAGTTACAAGTTACTGAAAGAAGTAACTAGTTACTGGTAGCGCATTATTATAACAACTAGTTACTGGCCAAGACTAGCCGAAACCGATAAATTATAGCAACCGAGGTAGACATAATTTGTTACCTTACAGCTACAACTAAAGGTGAATGTGCCACATGGGAAATCAGCAGGCAAGAACTGTGTGCCGCAAATTGTTGATCAGGGCAGCGAAAAACACGACTTGGCCGTTACGACAATTACACGATCAATGCAGGCAGATAGGAAATCCGTACTACCAACAGGTACCACCACTGCCAAAATTTCGGTTACAATCCTACAATGCTGAGAAAAGATGCGAACACAACGATAAAGGAGCCGAGGACCTGTCGGCACACAAAGGTCCAGCTTCACATGCATACTCCAGCACGTTATTTGGCTTCCATTGACTTCGAACGAAAAAAAAAAATAATGCAGCCTACGATTAAGAAAAGACAGAGTGGGTGCATTGTCCAAAGCATTTTAATTTTGAGAGAAATTTCAGCAATAGAGTAAAACTAGATAAATAGGTAAAAACAGCATCCAAGATACTCTGGCATGATATTAGTGAACCCAACTAACAAAACCAATGCCCTTCCAAATAGTGTCTTTTTTTTTTTCTCCAACAAAAATAGGTGCTTTATTGGCCCGGTCGTGAAAATTGCTACATACAGCAAAGCAATGCCATATAAGTTACCCACACAGTTTTTTGCATTGTGTACAAGCTCGACGCGAGAGACCACGCCGAGACGGCATCAGTAGAAAACTAGCTTCTTGGAAGGAAGAAATGGTCAATGTTGCAATGAATGAGTTGTTGCCTCAAATAGAGTAAAACTCCTTTTAAAAGCGCATTCCCACTAGATGCCGCGCGACAGAACTGCCAATAGCCCGCAACTCAACAAGAATTTTCCCGGCCTTAACTAGCAATAAAACAATTATTCCAAGTAGAAAAAAAGAATAAAGGGTTGAGTCGAAACTACGAGAATAAAAGAGGCAGGGAAGATAGGAACTGCATTTTACTAGGTGGATGGTTTTCTCCGCGCGTAACGGCAGAGACATGCGACAGAAAGCCCGCTCTCTACGCGGCCCCCCGGGAGGAAGGGAGCCAGTGAGCAAGGGAGGCACATTCCACGCACAACTTGGACAGCACGCAAAACATTATATTACAAAAAGCACGTCATGTGTGACCAGACTCAACTTTTTCTTGTAAGGAGCAAAAATGTCAGCAGAGAGATGAATGCAGAGTATATCGTGCTAACAACAAAAAACTTTGTCCTCTCTTAAAGTCCAAGATTAAAAAAAAAAAAAAAAAAAAAATAGAGGTGGGAGGCAGCATTGGGGGAAAAACAAAAACGCCAGAGCTCATCCATCACAGTATCTCGCAATGCGTCTAAAAGAAGGAGGCGAAACAAACTCCGGGAAGTTGTCGCCGGTCATCCAGCCGGTCCCCCTCGGAGTCCCTGCGCGTTGCAACTTGTGTTTGTCTATGTACACCTAGATAAGACGCCGGCCCTCGCAGGACCCTTCCCCCCTCCCCCTCGCCTCTCGGCTACTCCAGTGTCCTATGTACAACTAACACGGTGGCTATGTGGGCAGCGGAGGCAGTGACTGTTGTTGTTGTTGCTGCTGCGGTTGCTGCGTCGTTGCAGCCACCTGAGGCAAAGTCACCGCCTGCTGCTGCGGACCGGCGGCCGGCTGCGGGACGGGGCCCGGCTGCGGCACGGTGGCCAGTTGTGGACCGGCCGTTGGCTGCAGAGCCGCGGCTGGCTGGAGCGTGGGCTGCGGACCGGCCGCGGGGGCCGGCTGTGGGAGGGCCGGCGTCGGCTGCTGGCCGGCCAGGGCGGGCTGCTGCGGGGGCGGCTGGGCGAGCAGGCCGAGGGTCTCCGGGCTGGCCCCGGCCCGCAAGATGCCATTCTCGTACTCTAGCTGGCTGATGCGGTCCAGCAGCTCAGTGATCTTCTCCTTGAGTACGTCCACCTCCTCACGCACCGCAAACATGAGGTGGCTCTTGACCAGGTCCTGGGGGAAGCCACAGGAGGAACGAGCAAGGGTTCAGAGATTGTCGCTAGAGACGGCAACACCACCGCTTCTTCCAGGGCGCTCGTGCGAAATTTCAACGGTCGGCAATTTGCTTCAATATCGATTCGACGCACTGAAAGACAAAACTGAGGAAGGCTTTCCCCGCGGAGTACTCTACTCTTTCTTTAGCAGAGGAAAATTTGTGAACAAGGAGAGTTCCTCCTCATCTCCTCTCCAGTGCTCACTCTGTTAAAATGAAAAAAGTGAAGCGCTTTGAAGGGGGGAGCTTGTTTTGATTTCTTACCCTGCAATAGACTATTGGGGAGGAGATTCAACCAGTGTGCCCCAAGCGGCTAACTTGAGAACTACACCCATGGAGACATTGGCAATGATTGTCGCAGTGCTCGTACAACGTAGCCAAGCGCTGCATCAGCATTTGGCAGGTGCTTGTGTTCTTCCGTCGCCCGAAGAAGGGCGACGGAATCGCTGCAGAATTGCGGCAACTCACAAGCTCGTGTCGACGATCGGCCAATGCCTCCCCCTTTCGAAGGATCGACACCCCAAAGAAAAGCCTCAATGTGTCGCCTACAGCATACCATGTGGGCATTGTTTGGCCTCATATGCCGGGGAGAGTAAAAACTTCCCAGAAAGGCTCATGCGTCACAAATACGACGCCAATGTCCGAAAGAAAGATGTGGAAGCAAGTGCCCCAGCGGAACACGCGGAAGGAACTGGCCACACAATAGACCTTGAAGGAAGCACCATGCTGGCCTTGGAGGCAATGGAAAAAGCAGCTCTTTGTTGAGTCCTCGTTTATCCAACCAACAAATGGAAACATAAACCGCTCCTCGTGCACTCTTCGTCTGCAAAAACCCCTACATCCATGCATGCAAATAGCAATGCAGTTCCCCACCGGCACTCACTTGTGAGCAAGGGACCGAATCGGTCCCAAAACGTCGGGGTACTGTTCAATAAACTTTGTTATAGTTTGCAATTTCTCTCCGATGTCTCCCCCTAACCAGGGATACAGCTGCTGAACCATTTACCCTCTATACCAGTCTGCGTATACAACGCGGCGTCCACCGTGCATGTGTCCAGCACCTGCTTGGTACAAAGGCCGAAGTGAGTTAAACTCGCATCCTCTGACTACTGCTTTCAACAGACATTCGGCCTGTCGCGTCACGCTGACGTCACTCCGTTTATTGTTAACAGTTTTCGCATTGCACTGTGCCCCGTGCTCTATCGAGGAAGAAGACGTTAACAATAGAGTTCACGGTCCTTGTGTTGGTTAAATGCCCAGCTCTGGGGAAAACAAGATGGACAGAGTGCCCTCTGTAGCTCGACCTGCTCCCCAATAGTAATCCAAATTATAGGTCAAAATAATAAATTTTTTTCTTTCCTTTTTTTTTTTTTTGCAATGTTATTTAATATTTAAACCTAATCCTCACCAAAGGTTTTAAACTGAAATGTTCCACTGGCAGCACTGAAAATGTGACGATTGATGTTGTAAATTTGGGCGGCACAACCTGTTCCCGATGGTTTACAGGAAGTTTGATGGTGAGAAATGAAAACTGGGGAAGCTAGCAGAATGAAAATATTGCACGACATACTGTAGGAAAATCTGAAGGTTGGTCTTGGCATCACCTTCACTCGCTGTTTTCTCATACTCTGAATTTAGAAAAAATAAATAGCACCCCAGAAACAGTAAATCCCATCTATCTCAAAACTGTAGTTAGCGTAATGTCTCGAGAGATGCCCGACCCTGAAAGATAACCCACTTCTAGTAATCATAGTGTTCATAGCAATGATGGCCTTGCCGTAAGTGCAGTAAGTTAGCTTTAGCAAAATATAACGAACGTTGTTGATGGAGAAGTACAATAGTCACCTTTGCTTCATTGCAACTTGTCACGATAACAGGTTTTGCAAGGACACATCACCTAAAAATAGACTTCTTTTTTTTTTCAACTTTTCTTGATTGCACACTGAAAGTGAGCCCATTCCTTATTTTTGCCCTATTTGCTCTAGATTTTAGGTGGGCTATCTCTTGGGATATTACGGTAGTTTGGGTAGCTCAAAAGGAACACAAATTTGAACCATTGGGTTGGTTCCCTAAACAACTGAATTGGAACATTTTGGTACTGCACTTAACATATTTTCTCAAACTGCCTTTTTAATGTGCTCATGTTCATTTTCTCTATTTCTAATATTAATTCAACTCCCACCATGGCTTCCGGTGGAGAGCTGCAGTATTATAAATAAATCAAGCACTGTGACACAATGCTATAATAGGTATTTGGGGCAGCCTTTGAATTAAAAAAAACACAAAAACGAAAACAGGAAAAAGCGATTGATTGTTTATGCACACCGTGTTGCACAAACAAACAGTTACTGACTTGTAATTACTTGTATGTGGGTACCTCACAATCCTGATACCCGCTTCCCACGTCTATCTCTATCCTTCCTTAAAGGGGCCCTGCAATCCTATTTAAGCATCCACCTTTTTTGCGGTTTCCACCTCTCTTAAGGTTCAGGCAAGCCAGCGGGCATGGAGAGAGCAACTGAATATCAGTGCGTCATATTTGTAACCGAATGACGCGGAAACCTCTTCCACCGACAGAGGCGACCTGGGGTACCGAAAGCGCGTAAAATGTGACGTCTTTGGTCCTGGGCTTACTACTGGTCACAGCCGCTAAAAGCTTCTTTTCATACGAAATAATATAAGTGGTGCGAACCATTTCAATTATTTATAAAAGTAGTTTTTGTTCACTATTTTAGATCAGAAAAGAAACAAATGCAGTTTATAAAATACGGAAACAAGAAATGACCCTTCGACATACCAAGCGGTGGAAAAGGCGGCGCATACTAGAAAGGTGTGGTGGGATCAGGCATTAACGAGCGGCGAGCATAGAAAGGTTTCGGATGTATGCGGCGGCGCTGCCGTCGTACGAACTGGAGGATCCGACCGGTTCCGTACGTTCCAAAAGCCTTCGGCAAGCAGCTTTGGCTTGCGGTTTGGCCTTTCGGCGGTATGGCAGCGCAAAGTGGCTCGCGTTCTGAACTGATCTTTACCCCGTGCTTACTGTCGTTTGTGGCCAATGAAGTGTGATGCAGAATTAGTGTTTAATCGTGCAGCAAATGCAATGCGAGCCACCTTGGCTGCCCGCTTTATTAGCCCCGAGAAGTTTGCGTGGCGCCTCCTTACGGCAAACCGGGGTAACGTCACGGCAAGGAGAAAATTTTTCCCTGACTCGCCCCGCTCGCCTTGTGGAGGCTGTGATGACGCTAGTTGTCGGCACGCTCGTTTTTATTTAATTTTTTTTCTGCGTGTTTTTTGTAGGAAGTGTAAATTTTTATATGTGCCTTTATTGAGGTATGACCTGTACCTACAGGCGAAACTTCAACCAACATTTTAAGCATGGTTGACAGGGCAGGCAACGCATGAATCACAGCTGGTATACGAAAATAAAGAAATATGGCCACAATTGTAGGAGCATCATTATAGATTTACGTCTCGCGCAATAAATGCTGCTGATGGTCTGAATGAATTGGCAGGTTATGTATACTATTTCTTTTGTATCTCTGTTTTTAAACAAGATAGCCGAAGCAAAAAAGCTGCAGGCTGCTCGAGCAATATGCTAAATACAGTCTGGGCCATGGCGAGAGAATCACAAATAAGACAACCCAAGCAGGGGCAAAGTAAAAATAAACAAGGAACATTTATTATATTCATTGCTTGCATTTGACCTTTGCTGGATTCGGATAATATTTCAGTGGACTACACGGTGGTATCTGTGGACTTGTTTATGCAAACCCTCAAGTAATGTATAACAAACGTAAGCGAAGGTGTCTAGCTCGTTATTTTAAATTAAAGTAAAATTTAGATTTTACTTAAATTGAATTGTCCTGGAGCTAAAATACCAGAAGCTTTTCTCACGCAGACTGCCGCCCTTCACTGGTTCCACATTTTCCGCTACTAGTGCTGCATCTACCACTGGACAGTTGTTCAAAAGCTTGCTCTTACTCCTGCTTTCCTCTGTTGTCAGAGTCCAGCTGTAGGGAGTTTGGAGTCATAGGAAGCTTCTGAGGACCTGCAGCAGTCTCTTTTAATTGGAAATGACAATTCAGTCTAAACTGTGTATTTTCCGAATACCCAAGTCTGGAATAAAGAGTGTCAGAAAAAATTATAAACATTCCAAATTACGGCACTATTGCTGTGCATATTTTGGGCAGTTCGATACATATCATACAGGCAACTGGGGGCGATTCGGCCGTTTTTGCTGCTACCATACAAACTAATTTCCAGTAATTGTGCATCTTCTAAGAAATATGCCTGAATACGTGTATAGACCATATAATTAATTCACGAAGAAGCTACATTTATGTAAAACAACCCTGTTCCACGAGCACTTCAAAGATCATCAGACGCAGGGCCTTTAAAACATCTGCGAACCAGCGCATGCAAAGTGGCAGCGCAGAGTCGGGGTCGCGAGCTAATTTGCCGACCACCCAAAGGCCCATGATATAAATGCCACTTCAAATGCCTTGAAAGCGGGATGTAATATCGTCCTAAATCATGAACATGCAAGGAACAGAATTCCAGCGTCTGAAACACTTGCGCCACCGCCTTCACCGACCCCTCGCAAGATTGCCTTGTTTCACGTGGACAGACGGGGAAGCTCATCGACGGAATCGCCTCCGCCGATAGCTTTCGGAATTTGTAACCCAATTTTAAAGGTAAAAGGGACGAGCAGGCTTATAAAATGTACGGAAGCATGCCAATATTGGCCTAACTCAACGTCTTGTACACCGGGTAAACGAAGTCCAGCTCCTCGAAGAGCTTGCGGCACACAACGCCAAACCAGGAAATCGGTGCTGGGAAGCGAGCCGATGCGAGATCGCGGAGCGGAGTCCTCCTCCTGACGTCACGGTACACCTCACCCAATCAGGGCGCGGCGACTGCAGCGACGCTTGTGTTTGCTCTTGGGGCTAATACAGCCTAT